CAAAATAAACAACTGAATCAAATGAATAGGGCTGGGAACAAAGCACATTGCAAAGGACCTGGGCTCGACACCCAGTAAGAAGAGGAGAGGGAGGAAGCAGCACACAAATTGTCCAGAAGAGGGAAATCTCCAGGGGTGGAAAATCCAGGGTCCCAAGGCCAGGGAAGAGGCTGTAGGGAGCAGTGCAGGTTACTTAGCTCCTGGAGACCTAACGTGGACGTGGCAGTGACCACGGGGACACGGCCCCTGAACTGTGCGCTGAGCAGATGCGTGGCACAGTCTGACTGCATCCGCAGGAAGCCGCTCTGAAGAATGCTGTGGGCGGGGCAGGTGCCTGTCCTTAGACTTCGGGGGACACTGTGGTGACATCATCCCCTCAGCAACAAGCGCAGAGCCCCGACCCGCGTCTCCGCTTCTCCGCAGGACCCTGCAGCTAGGTAGCGTTTACACATTTGGATCGATGTTCTCCGGGCACCCAGGTAAGCAGCCTGTGGATGAGGTCAGGCACTGTCTGCTGGGGCTGTGTCCCACCGTTCATCCTCCCAGTGTGGAGGACGCGAGCCTGGCGCCCAGGGTGGCCACTGAGCTCGTCCGGCCCTCCCTGCCCTCGCTGCTTGCCAGTGCCCTCCGCCTCCGTCTGTGTCCACAGGGCATTTCCCCTGGCGCTCATTTTATGCTTTCTTTCTCGGGTGTCACTGTCATGGCAGCACTTAGGGAAGCTCCTAACTCATCGACGTATTTTATTTGTGCTCCTGGGGAGTGCATGCAGGGCCCTCCCACCAGCTACAGCCCATCCTCGGTGTCTTAGTCACTTCCTCCCAGCTGGGACAGACCAGACTGAGCAGGAGAGGTTCACTTCGGCCCAGCCTACGGGATTTTCAGTGTACTGCAGTCTGCTGCTCCAAGGCAGGGCACCTGGCAGAGGGGCGAGAGCTTGTGGAAGGCAGGGAAGAGGTGGCAAGGCTTCCTCTTCCTGTCGCTTTTTACTGCCCCCAGGCTATAGTCTAGTGCTTGGTGCTGCCCATACCCGTGGGGTGAAGAGGGCCTTCCCTCTTCGGTGAACCCATCACACGCACTCAGACTGCTGAACCAGGAGGCTGATGCAGTACTGCACACCACCGTCCAGTCACTTCCCCAAAGCCCCACCTACAAGGGCTCGAGGTTTTTGTTGTTGGTTTTTTTTGAAAAAAAAAAAAACATGTAGTTCAGGCTGGCCTTGAACTTCTTTATGTAGCCCAGGCTGGCCTCAAATTTGAGCTCCTCCTGTCTCAGCCTCCCTAGTGCTAGGATTGCAGGCGTGCACCACCGCGCCAAGCCAAGGGCGCGAGGCTTTAAAGGGACATCTAGATACAAGCCACAGCAGTCTCCTTTGGTAAGTGTTCCGTGTACACCTGAAAGGGTGTACCATATAGCTAGCTTTTGTTGGCTGTGATGTTCTATGTGTAAATTAGGTCAAGTGGTCTATTTTGTGTAAATCTCCTGTGACCTCACTTAACTGTTCCCCACTGCTTCTACACTGAGATATGCATTAAAATTGCCAGTGAGGGGCTGGGGATTTAGCTCAGCGGCACAGCACCTGCCCGGCAAGCGCAAGGTCGTGAGTTCGATTCCCGGTACCAAAAAAAAAAAAAAAAAACGCCATTGACTGTGCATTCAGCTAGGTCCGCTTTTGCTTTATATATTTTTAAGCCTTATTTTTAAGCTCTGTACAAATTTCATTATATGTGTATTTATTCATGTCTATTTCTAGTAATATCATATCACCAGTCATTTTCTTGGTTATACTGGCATGGTGTCTTTCCCATCCTTCCCAGGTTGTGCTTTTATACACATCTACACGGGTGTATACAAATGCATGTCTGTACGTATCTCAGATGCGCGTGTGCACGCGCGCACACACACACACACACACATACACACACACAATTTGTGTACTGGGGATGGAATCCCAGGCCTCGTGCTTGCTAGGCAAAAGCTCTACCACTGAGTCACACCCCCAGCTCATGTTCTTTCCTTAAAGTACAGGTTTTCTAGTGCTGGGGTTGTAGCTCAGTGGTAGAGCCCTTGCCTAGAGTGTGAATGCCTAGCACTACAAAAATAAAAATAAAGTATACCTTTTCTAATGAGCAAGTAGGTGTGACTTTTTAAATTTTGCATTCATCCTTTTGTTTGTTTGGGTTTTTTTTTTTTTTTTTTTTTTTTTTTTTTTTTTTGAGACCGGATCTCGCTGTGCAGTTCAGGCCGGCCGTGAGCTCACTTTGTAGCCCAGGCTGGTCTTGAACTTGCAATGATCCTCCAGCCTAAGTCTCTTGAGTGCTGGGATTGCAGGCATGCGCCACTGCGCCTCGCTTGCACCACCACACCTGGCTGGTTTTTTGGTTTTTTGAGACAGGATCTTGCTATATACTTCAGGCTGGCCTTGAACTCACTATGTAGCTCAGGCTGCCCTCAAACTTGCAGTGATCCTCCTGCCTCAGTCTCCCACGTGCTGTCTACAGACATGCGCCACTATATCCGGTGACAATCTTTCTTTCCATCAAAGTGGTCCATTTATATTTAATGTAATTACTAATATAGTTGGGTTTTCAGCTACTTTTTTTTTTTTTCTGGTACCAGGAATTGAGCTCATGACCTCATGTTTGCCAGGCAGGTGCTGTGCCGCTGAGCTAAATCCCCAGCACCCCATCTATTTTCTAAGATAGGGTCGCACTACATTGCCTAGGCTGGCCTCAAACTCCTAGGCTCAGATGATTTTCTTGCTTCAGGCTCCTGGAGTTGGAACTACAGGCATATACCACTACATCTGGCTTACCAGGTATCTTCTATTTGTCTCATTTTTTAAAATTTCTCCTAACACCTCTTATCAAAAGATATTCTATTTTTCTGGGTTTTTTTGTTTGTTTTTGTTTTTGTTTTTGAGATAGTCTCACTGTAGTTTAGGCTGGATCTGAACTGTGCAGTCCAAGCTGCTCTCAAACTCACACTGATCTTCCTGCCTCGGTCTCCCCAGTGCTGGAATTATAGGTATGCATCACCATGCCCAGCTCCTATTACTTTTTATTGAATATTGTAGTATTGTTTTAATGGTTGCCCTAGAGATTACAGTACGTTTCCTTAGTCTACCTTAAATCAATCTGCAAATCTTGCAGTGGTGCAGCTCCATTAAATGCATCCCCTACACACCTCGCGAGCTCTTGTGCTCATGTTTACGTGTGTTGTAAGGCAGCGTTCCTTGACCTCTACTCACACTCATGCTCTTTATCCTTTTCTGTGTCTCTGTCCTTCTGTCCAGATCATTTTCCTTTAGCCTAAATAACTTTTCCTCTTTTTTGCAATATTGAAGACTTGACCCAGGGCTCACAGGCTAGGCAAACCTGCTCCCACTGGGCCACATTCCCAGCCCTCTTTATTTTGAACCAGCATCTCACTAAGTTGCCCAGGCTGGCCTTGAACTTGCAATCCTCCTGTCTCAACCTCCCAAGTAGCTGGATTCAAGGCCTGCGCCACTACCCCTGACACAGCATGAACAATTTCTAGAGTACAGATGTTTCTTCCAGGTCAGGCTGCAGGATATAAATTTTCTTAGCTTGTGTTTGTCTAAAAATATCTTTGGGCTAGGGATATAGCTCAGTGGCATAAGCGCCTGCCTGGCAAGTGCAAGGTCCTGAGTTCAATTCCCAGTACAAACAAACAAACAAACAAATAAATAAATATTACCTTTATTCTACATTCATTTTTCACACCCCTTTATTTCCAGAAATACATCATCTCAGACTCCACTCTGGTAAGTACTGAGGCTGGACTGACAGTTTTGAGGCCCCTATTCTTTTGTTTCTCTGTGAAGTGTTGGGTTTGTTCTAGGCAAGGAAATCCCATCAGGTCTATAATCCCAGCACTGGGGAGGCTGAGGCAGGAGTAACTTGGAGGCCAGCGTGGATTCCATAGTGAGTTCATACCAGCCTAAACTACATAGTGAGACCCTGTCTTAAAAAAAAGGGGGAGGGGGAGAAGGAGGGAAAAAGGGAGGGAGGAAGGAAGGAAAGAGGGAAGGAAGGAGAAAGAAAGAATGAAAGAAAAAGAAGGAAAGGAAGGAAGGAAAGAAGGAAGGGAGGAAGGGAGGAAGGGAGGAAGGAAGAGAGGCTGCCTGGAATCCGGGTGGCTCTGCAGCCAGGCCTCTTCTGCTCTTGGCTGGCTGCGGCCTTGCTGGCCCTTAGGTGCAAATGTGCGGCGTTTGGCCGCGCCTCTCACCTCAGGGACTCAGATTCGGAACCGGCTCCCTTCAGCATAGCCGGAACTCTCCCAGCTCTGCGCGCAGCGCTCCTCGCTCCCAGGGCTCCTCCGGGCCCCTCAGGGTGCACACTTCAGAGTTGGCCAGCGACTTGAGGGCTCCTCTTCCTGGGGCACCTTTCTCTTTGGAACGTCCCCATCCTCCATTTGCTGTGCTCAGGCAGCCTCAGGTTCCTCCAGCACCAAGCAGCCGCTCCACACCCCGGACCTCGGAGTCGGACCCACACTGGGTGTCCACCTGCTTCTGCGAGGCCGCCCGTCCCTGCTGCCTCTGCCCCTCCCAGCGTGCCAGCGTCCCTGCTGCCACCTAGGTCCGGCCAGCCCGGGCCCCAGAGCAGTCACAGCAGTGAGGACGTTCATGAGAGCGACCAGGGGCTGTGAGACCAACGCACCTCACCTCTGGACACGTGACTGCAGGGCCAGCGCTCGGTACCACGCGGCCACCACACAGAGCAGGACGTGGCTCCAGGGCTGCTACTTCCTGCCACGCTGGCCTCTAAGTCCTCCACGTGGGACAGCTCGTGGCTTCCCCCTGGCAGCGTGGGAAGCTTCACGCCACACAGACAAGACCGGCCTCGCTCACCGGCCACCACCGACATCTGCTGGCTGCTCCCTCCAGCCGTCTGTCCACGGCCCAGGGGACAGAGGGAGCAGCGGGCTCTACTCTGTCTGAGGCCCCGTCTCCACAGGGCCCACCCAGTCACCCGAGGGCCAGGCGGGGCGGCCCGGCAGCCCTGCTCACTGGCAGCACTCAGCCACGTGCCCAAGGAGCTCCTCGCCTTGCTCATCTCCGAAGCAGCGCAGGCAGTGCGGGCACTGGAGGTCGCCCTGTCCTCTCGGGGCTGCGCTTGGGCACCCACCCTCCTTGGGGGCTTGTGGCCGTGGAGACCTGGGCCCCAGCCCCCGGCCGTCTGGCGCTGCGAGTCCCAGCGCGTCGGTCTCTAAGTACGTGGCTGTCTTGCTCCCAGCATGGATCCGGCTGGCACCTGGCTCTCGGGGATCCTGCAGGAAAAACGGAGGCCAGGCTCGTTTCCAGCAGCTAGAAACACTTCATACCCCACCCCCCAGGAGCCAGCTCCCTCACCCACAGCACCCACCTGGAGGGACCCCGGAAGGAACAGGCCCAAGCGGGGTTCCTGCAGCCATCAGCCCCGAGATCCACCATAAGGCGGCCCTGATGCCCCACCCTGAGCCCAGGCCGCCTGCACCACACTGAGGGCTAGGGCACGGATCGGAGCCTGGCCCTGTGTGGCAGCAGGGGGCTGTCCTGCGGCTAGCAGTGCCACTGTCCCCACAGGCCTGGCTTCCTTTCCACTCTGCCTCCGAATGTGGGTCTCCCTCAGGTCACAGGTTGGGCACCCGCACCTTCAGCACCGCCGTCCCCAGACGTGCGACCTAGGGCAGGGCCTGCACAGTTCTGCCAGCGCCTCAGGGCCAGAGGCCACAGCAGCCCCACCAGGAATCTTGCCCTGGCAGCTGACCAGGCCTGGGACTGCCGCTAGTCACTCTTCTGCCCCAGATGTTGAGAGGCTCCTAGACAGACCACCCAAGACCATCCCTGTGACCCGGCCGTGAGCAGTTTTCAAATCAGGTACAGACAGGAGGCTAGAAACCCCCAAGCACAACCAAATCCCGGGAAAACCCATGTATCTCCATGTCCAAGATGCTCCACTCCCAGCCAGGACATGGCTGGAGGCTCCAGTCCAGTACCCATGGTCCGGGGCTCAGGGAGAACCAGGAATCACGGGCTCCACACTGGCTCAGGGAAGGCCCCTGGCAGGCTGACTGGGCCAGCTGTGGCCAGCACAGCCTCTGGCACCTCCTTGCTGGCTACAGGCTGCAGTCCCCACCCTGCTCCGCCTCCCCAGGTAGCACTGGGGCCTGTGCTGCTGCCTGCTGAGGACTCAGGCTAAGGTGTGGAAGAAAGACGTCTGCCATGGCTCCCTGCGCCCTTGTGCCAGAAGAGGGAGGAAGTGTGACCCCAGATCCTTGCTCTCGCTCTCCAGGAGGGCAGCTCCACGGTCAGCAGTGGCACCACGATGCCCAGTCGTGTCAGGACAGCAAAGCCCTAGGACGGGGCCGCAGCGGACACTATGCAGCTGAAGACGCCAGCCTCCCAGGACTAGTGCAGAACGTGGGTCTGAACTGCAGGAGCGGGAGAGGTAGCTAGCGCTCTTCCATGGGCACTGTCAGTTACAGCCCATGCCAGGGGTGGCCCTGAGCCCAGAGGCTGCACTGGGGACCTTGGTGGACACCTGGGACCTGTGGCACACCGCATGACATGGTAACTCGGTCCCCGCCTGCCAGCCAGCACTGACGCGGACAGAGCTGCTCTCTGGACACCTGAGGGAGATGCCTAGAGAAGACAGGCCCTGAAGACGGCCACCTCGCTCCACTGGCCGCCACACCCGCCTCCTCCATCGCTGGACACGGAACATGTAGGCGCATCCCCTGCCGACACCCCGGGTCCCGGGGAGGGGCCGTCACGGCCCCAGCACCAGCAAGTCAGGGCTCAGCAGACAGAGGCTAACACCCATGAAGAAAAATCAACTCACCGAGCCCAGAGGAGAAACGCCCCGCACCCACCTGTCCCTGGGCGGCCTGCAGGAGCAAGGCCAGCCTCTCCTCCAGCTCCTGAATCCTGCTTTGAGCCCGCTCCCGATCTGCCCTTTCCGACGTGAAGTCATCCTTGTACGCCAGGATCTGAGGAGGCACAGGACACTCGTTTCTGTCCCCATGCCCACCGCCACCCAGCGCACCCAAGCCCTGGGCCTGGCCTGAGGGCCACACCTGCTGCTCCAACATCTGCACTCGCTCCAGGGTGGCATCCTGGGCTGTCCTCGCGGCCGCCAGCGCCCGCTCAGCCTCCGCACAGTCGCGCATCCTGGCCTCCAGCTGGTGGTTGAGCCGGGAGATCTCCTTCCTCATCAGCTCCGGCTCCTGGGGCTCCTGCAGTCCGCGCAGCCGCACCTGGAGCCCCCTCACATACTCATCCCGGCTGGCGTCATAGCGCTGCCACTTGGCATTGAGGTCTTCCACCTGTGGAGGCAGCGCCCGGGCCCTCAGCAGCGCTGCACACAGGACACCGGCCTCCTGGGACTCCTGGCACCCACAGTGACGTCCACAGCAGAGATCATGCACAGAAGTACACTAACTCAATTTTCTTGCCTGAAAAACTTTTTGCTGCTTGACAGGGTGGTGTACACCTGTGATACCAACTGCTTGGGAAGCTGAGGCAGGAGAACCAAAAGTTTAAGCCCAGCCTGGGGAACTTAGCCAGATTCTGTCTCAAAAAACAAAGTGCCATGGACCTGGGAATATGGCTCTGTGGTGGAACACTTGCCTTGTGGTCAATCCCATTATGTAAAAAAAAAAAAAAAAAAAAAAATAGGAGTGGTGGTACACACCTGTAATCTCACCACCCTGGGAGGCTGAGGCAGGAGGACTACAAATTCCACCCCAGCCTGGGCACCTTAACAAGACTCTGTCTCGAAATAAAAAAATTTTTTTTTTTTTTGGTTTTTCTCCAGTACCGGGAACCGAACTCATGAGTAAAAAAATTTTTTAAAGGCTGAGGATGTAGCTCAGTGCAAAGGCCATCCTCTGAGAAAGGCCGGGCTCCAGCACTGAGGAATGAACCCCTGCCACCCGCTAGGCCAGGTGCTGCTCAGGGAAACGTTAGGGCACTCACGTGGGCCACCTTCTGCTTCAGCAGGAGGTTTTCTTCCTGTAACTTCTCGACGGCAGCCTGCACAGCAGCGTCCCCACCTGTCCGCTCTGGCTGCACGAGGAGGAGCACAGCAGGGAGGCCACGTCACTGCGCATGACGTGCACGGGAGGGGGATGCGGGGGCCAGAGGCTGAGGCAGAGCACCGAGCACCACAGCTGGCAGGGACCGCCCGGGTGGCAGGGCAGAGCCCCACAGGGCCTGCTGGCTCCGCTGCTGCCCACGGTCACGGCTCTTCGTGCCCTGGCACCGCTGTGCGGTGAGCTCTCCCGGTGGGAGCCCAGCCTCCTGGAGCTCCGCGTCTACAGGCTCAGCGCTGCGGTCGCGGCAAAAGCTCCCATCCCCGAGCTCCCACCCCGGAGTCCTGCGGCCCCCGAGACCACGGCAGGGGCAGGCCCCGGCCCTCCACACCTTCCTGTGCACACGCCGGCAGCTGCGGCCCCTCGGGTGGGCAGCGACCTGGCTGAGCCTCCAGCAGGGCCGAGGTCCATGAGGAAGCCACAGCCACGCCAGCCCCTAACAGGAGCACATGGACCTGAATGAGAGGCTTGTGAGACACCAGTTGTACCCGAGAAGTGCCATGTACTGAGCAGGGAGGGCGACTGTGTCAGTGACACTATTTTTATTATTTGTTTGTTCATTTTTTTTTTTTTTGAGACAGGGTCTCAAACTCATAGCAGTCCTCCTGCCTCAGCTTCCTGAATGCTGGGGTTACAGACATGCACCACCACTGGCCTTCTTTTTTTTTTTTTTTTTTTTTTCCAGTACCAGGAATTGAACTCATGACCTTGCACTTGCCAGGCAGGCACTGTGCCGCTGAGCTGGCCTTCTTTTTTTTTTTTTTTTTTTTTTGATCTCAGTGACGTTATTTTTGAGAATTCCCCTTGAATGATAGGAAGTGCAAAGCTTAACCCAGCCTTCCCTGGGAAGCCCCAAGTGACTCAGCCAGGTCCAGGGCTGAGAAGCGGTGCTGAGACAGATGAGGTGGTTGTCACCATCCCCCGCCCCACGCCTGCTTTCGGCTAGCTGTTCTGGGCGGCTACTGCCAGATCCACAGGGTGAGCGTCACAGTGGCTCAGAGCCAGGCACTGCCTCACCCAGACGGCGCTGGCTTGAGCTTCTAAAGTCCCAGTGTATGCCAGAGAGGTGCCCGGAAGGGACCTGAGCTTCTGGGCCCGGAAAAGTGCACAGTCCTGCTCCCCACCAGTGGGAGGAAGGTGCCTCGAGCAGCACCAGGCCCCACCGTCCCCTGCTGCTCCTGCCAGGACACCCAGCCTGCGGCCCCCGCTCCATGCCCACCCTCATGGGAACCAGCTGCCTTCTGTCCCTACCAGGCTGGGCCAGCCCTCACCCCGGCCTGGAATGTCCCCTCTCGGGCACCCACAGCCACAGGCCCCAGGTGCCTCTGTCTGCTGGCCCAGCTCCCACCGTGCCCCCTGAAGGGCACAGTGTTGACGAGGAGCCTGTGCCCGAGGATAGTGTGATGCCCCCCGATGGCACGGATGAGCCGAAAAGCCAACCTCAGCGGTGGCGGTTGAGGCTCTGCTGAGCCGGGAGAAGTCCCGACCACTGAGATGCACAGAGCCCACGAAGGCTGGCAGCGGGGCCTTGCGGAGGTGGGGTCCACCCCTGCACATGAGGGCTCTGGAGGCCTCAGCAGGCCCCAGTGGCACGGCCGCCTGCCCCGCCCCCGCTTCCCCATCCGCACAGCACGCTGTGACTGCGCTTCCCCAGGCAGCCCCTGCACCCCAGCCCTCACCAGGCAGAGGCGTCCACAGTGCCGTCCCCACCACTCAGGTGGTGCTGGGCAGCGAGGGACTGGGAGGTGCTGCCCGCTTCCTCCACACTGCAGGTCCCCGCTCCTAGGCGCAGGCTCTCCACGCTGCCTCCGCCCTGCCGCCCTCCCCTCGCCAGGAGACACTGGCCAGCGTACCTCGTCCAGGCCTTTGTCCCTCCCCGGCCCCTGTGCACGCAGCTGCTCCTCCAGACGCCGGGCCAGGTGCTGGCACATGTGGGCAGTGGCGGCCAGCGTCCTGCGCAGCTGCTGCGTCTCGCCGGCCAGGGAACGGCACAGCACGTCGCTGGCGGCCCGGGCCCGCTCCTTCTCAGCCACGCTCCTCCGCAGCAGGGCCACCTCCTTGTCCCGCTCGTGCCAGGGCTGGCTCTCGGCCGGCTGCAGCTCCTGCTCTCCCTCCTCCAGGCGCTGCGTGAGTCTCTCTGCTTCCTCCTGGGCACGAAAGCAGCAGCAGGTCAATGGCAGCAGTCCGCAAAGCCCGAGACAGGTGGCAGAGGAACCGCCACACCCTGCACGCGACGGGAGGTCAGAGCTAAGCACGAACCTCGGGTTTCCCCAGCTACAGGGCCGTGGGGTACAGTGTCATCCAAAGCTCTGTTCTCAGGAGCAAGCTCACGGTTTGAGACTTCACATAAACAAAGCACTAAAAGTAGCAACCCCGAAGTGTCCTGCACAGGAAGGGGGACCCCACCACAGTGGCCCCGAAGCCGTGCCTGGCACAGGATTTCATTCAGAACAGGGTCTCTGCAGACATCCTCAGTTAAGATCAAGTCATTCACCGCCGGACACTGAGATTCTGGGAACACTAAGCTTCGTTCCCGTCTACAAAACGGCGCCAGACCTGCCTCGCAAGCGCTCACGGGAGAAGAGCGAAGGTGCTGTTTCACGTGGCACCGGGCCCCTAAACATCCACAGCTGTGGCGGCCTCCTCACGCCCGCCCGCCCGCCCGCCGTCTCTCCAGGGTGCTCTTGCACCTGGCCTTTCCCTTCTACTGGGCCCGAGCTCACGCTGCAGAGCCAGTTCTTCCCCTACGTCACTTTTACTTTCTCGAACAAACTTGGCTGCTTTAAAAAAAAAGCGTCAATAAATAATATCTATGATTTTTTAAAAGATTGTCATCGTGATGGGGTCCTGGCTAGGATGGGCCCTAGTCATATTCCAGACAGCTAGGCGAGGTAGAAACATTCGAGGCAGTCAGACAGGGCTGGGCCCTCGGGGGCCGGTGCGGAAGACGGGAGCCCAGGACAGTGGAGGATGACCAGGCCTGCGTGCCCCCCCGGGGGTGAGCAGTGAGTTAACATTAACATCAGTCGCCCCGTTGGGGGCCGGAACCCCCTGGTTCTTTCTCCTTGAAAAGGCCCTGGTTCTTCCCGTGCACCTCGCCCCGTGGCCTGCTTCCCCATTGGACCACCGTTACCCAGGGGGCTAACCCTGCAGTCTCACTGGATCACGGCTCTGACCCACGTTGTACCCAGCTCCGGATTTTGCTCTATAAAACCCCCTCTGTGAAGTGGCGTCCTTGGGAACTGACTTTCGGGTCTTCTCCTGTCTCTCAGGAGCTGTGTCCCATTCAATAAAATTTTCCTACTCTTACCCTCCATTGTTCTAGAATCCATTCTTTGATTTTGGGGAACACACATTTGATGTATCTGGGAGTACATTTTTCTCCCCTGTATCAATCCAGGCAGCCACTCGCGCAGACAGACCAGAGCGATGTGCCTCCGCGTAACGGCCTCGGGGACTGTGGCCACAGCAGAGGCCGAGGAGGTGAGGGGGACCCTCCCTCGCACCTTACTGTGGCGCTTCTGGCCTCTAGAACTGTGGAAATGCTAACTGTTGCCTTAAGCCAGAGTTTGTGGTACTTTTTTATGGCAGTTCTAGGAAACTCGTATGCACAACCCTAGTGACTTCTTTTTAAAAAGCGGTCTTAAAATGACACTTCGGTTGTTTTAGTTTCGGGACAGGGTCCCTCTCCACACTGATCTCAGTGACCCTTCTACGGCACCTCCTGAGTGCTGGGGCTTTAGGCAGTTGCCGCCAGGCCTGGCCAAAACGACAATTCTGTGCTCTCCTGTTTTTAAAGAACCCTCAGAAATAACCATTAGCTGAGGGAGCCAAAGCCGAAAAACCTGGGGGAGCCCAGGAACACGGCCACACACCAGGCCCCCCTGTCTCCCAACATTCCCCACCCCAACCCACGGGGTCTCCGCCCGGACACAGCGCCTGCCTCCCACCAGCTGTCACCTCCGGGTGCCTGCTGACTGCCAGGTCGGGAATCTCAGGTGAGAGCCACTCTTCCCGGCCGTATCTCCCCCTCCGTCTGCATGACCAGGACGTCCTCAGCTGGGGAGAGGCCGGCCTTTCTGTGCCGAAAGAGCTGAGGCCTCCAGAAGCTGGGCAGACCCGCAGGACGGTGGAAAGGGGCTCCTGGGGCCGCCACCCACAGCCAACTGGGTCCTGCACAGGCTGCTGGTACCCTGATGGTGCACACAGACCCTGGAGCCACTAGCTGGCTCTTCCATGTCCCTGAGCCTTAGCAGCCTCTTGGGGACCCCTCGATCCCTACTGGGGGTCCCTGCTCCTCACACGGCTGTCACTGACAGTGACCTGCCAGCAGCTCACCTCTTCTGCTTTGGGTTTTCCTCCTGTACTGGGGCTTGAACCCAGTGCCCTCTCTCTCAGCTACATCCTCAGCCCTTTCCATTTCTTGAGAGAGGGTCTCGATGAGTTCCCCAGAGTGGCCTGGAATTTGTGGTCCTCCTGCCTCAGCCTCCCAAGGAGCTGGGATTACAGGTGTGCACCCTTGGGCCCTGCTCGCGCTGTGGTTTTAATTCTGCTTTGCTACCTGGGTGAACACAGACCCTGGGAGGGTAAACCTCCCCACTCTTCCACAGGCTCTGTGGCTGGCCCCAGGGTGAACGTCAGATGAGCAATAACCGCGTAAGACATCAGATATTCCTTAAATAATTAAAAATGGCAGACACACCCACATGCGCATGCTGCTGTGCACCTCAGGCACCTGGCAAGAAGGCGGCACCTCCGGACACAGCCTCACACCGGGCCCCACCCTGCCCGCTCAGGACACACTGCTTGTCTCCACATACTGTCCTCTGCCTTCTCTGGATCCGCACAAAGGTCACCAACAACCCTGGTCCTTTGGAACTGGTGCCATCGCAATGGGTCATCGGAGAACGAAAGGCACATCTGGCCCAGCACACCCCACAGTCACACAGGGGCCATGCGAGGTGCCGGCCCCTGTCGACTTCGTGCTGGGCCCCACCGGATTCTTCAGTGAGGTTTGCGTCACACTGGAAGGACCAGAATGGGGCGCATGCAGACCAACACTGGGGCGAGTGAGGACACCCCACAGGTCTGTGGGGGAGAAGCTTCCTCATCGCCATGGCATCTCGGCCACTCCGGGCACACACAGGCGGGGCTGCTCTGGCGCTGGCCTCACCGGACTCCAAGGACATGGCTGCAGCCCACCTCGCCCTCCGCCAGGCTCTTCTGGGTCAGAGACCCAGACAACGCTGCCTGCTGCTCCTCATTCTGGACAGATCGGTCCACCTAGGCCTCCCCCCTTCTCCTCCTTGTCCTTTGCTAGTGAGATGTTTTTTGTCATGTGCCCTGCTTTCTGGGCCTTGGGAATAACCGAAGTTTGTGCACAATTCTCTGGTTTCTATCAGCTGTCCACAAGCAGAGTGTATTATTACCGCATATGAAAATATAATATTTCTGTGAACCATTTTTAATAATGGTAGTAATTATTTGCTTTCACATTTATTATTTTCTATTATTATTTTCACACTTATTAACTTTTACTAAAGTTAAAGTCAATTTCAGGGCCGGGGATATAGCTCAGCGGCACAAGTGCCTGTCTGGAAAGTGCAAGGTCCTGAGTTCGATTCCCAGTACCAAAAAAAAAAAATTCAATTTCAGTTCCTTGTGCCATTCAAAATGAATGATTTCAAACGTAACAATGTCATATTCAACAGTAGCACCTAAAGATAATAAGCAGCCAAGGCACAGTGGCACATCCCTGTAATCCCACCACTCTGGGAGGCTGAGGCAGGAGGACTCCAAGTTCAAACCCAGTCTGGGCAACTTATCCACTTAACAAGACCCTGTCTCAAAATAAAAAAAAAATTTAAAAAAACTAGAGCTGGAGATATAGTTCAGTGAGAAGGGCCTATATTAATGCCCAGTACTAGGGGAAATAAAATCCTACAAAGAGAAGAAAACTTAAAGACAGTATAAAAAAGCATTGTGTTTGCATTGATTTAACGACCACAGTTCCTGTCATCTTGTTTAAATTAGGCTTAGACAGGTATGTGTAGCCATAAAAACACACTAGTTATCTGTCTAAACCTGCATTTACCTTCGCAAACTGCATAACCTAAGAGCTGCATCACAGAGAAAAGACAGTATTAAGATAAAAATGAACAGGGTTTCTCAGAATTCCTTGTGCAACAGCTGATCAGTGACACCTATGTTGTTTTGTTTTCCGATACCGGGAATTGAACTCACGACCTTGCCAGGCAGGCGCTGTGCCGCTGAGCTAAATCCCCAGCCCCTGACACCTATGTTTAATGCTTGCTCAGTTGGTTTTGGCAGATTGAAGGGCATACAACAATTACATATTTAAAATTACTACAGTAACGTTAACAAAGTGTTCCAAATAAAATTGCAAAATTATACTACTTTTAAATCTGAAAACAAAACCTCCCTATATAGAGGGAGGGAAGCGGGTGCCGCTGCCACCACAGACCTGGCTGCTTTGGGCCCGCATGGGTGCGGGGACGCCCCAGGGCGGGGCGCTGACACCCGGCTGCGTCCTGGCGCTAACTCAGGCCCTCCGTCCCCTCGCTGTCCCCCTGATACCCACGACACTAAGGTCGGGGGCAAGCGCGAGGGAGCTTGTGAAGGTCCTTTCCGCTTGAAGAGTCCCAGCCCACTTTCCAGGAAGAGAGGGCGCGGGCGGCGGGGGCGTCTGGCTGCGCGCGGACCTCGCGCTCCGCGGAGCGCGAACCCCGACAAGGCGTAGAGCCGCGCGCGGGCGCCGGGCCGACTCGCCGCCGGGGTCAAGCAGGAAGAGGCACCCCGGACCGCCGAGCGGCCCCTCACCATCGTGGGCTCAGCGGGGTTATTCTTGATTATTTCCTTTATTTTTCAGATGCGTAAAATCACTTTCATAACCAGAAAATGAAAAAGGCGGGTTCCTTCTCCCTCTAGGTCTGGCTGCGGGGCCCACCCTGGAAACGCGCACGACGCAACCTCCTGCGCGCTGCGCCCCGCCGGCCTGCGCTTCCCTCCGGGGGACCCCCGGGCGGGCGGAGCACGGGAGACCGGAGGAGGAGGGCTCTACGGTTCACGTCTGCCCTCCGAGCCTCCCCTCGTCCCCGCCTGCAGAAGCCACGCGGTGGGGCGGAGG